TACTCTTATTTATCTTTGAAATTGAAATTATATGATGCTCAAATCACTCTGTATTGCAACCATGTATTTAAGTGAATAGAAAGTTGTTTGAGACTAAAATATAAACAAAAATCATCTCATCAGTCTCATCTAAGCTAATGTTCAACCACATGGTTGAATGGTTGAATAGCCTTGTTTTGACCTCCATAGTAAAGGTTAAAGGCTCAAATCTTAGCAAAAAAAAAATAGTTTTATCTCAATTATTGGGATCAACTGACACGCCATGTACGATGAGAATACAAAAAAAATAAGTCTATATGGTAGACCATAAGGTATATGATTGATTTTTCAGTCAAACACAGGGTGAGTCTTAAATCTCTTAATACAAGCCAAAAGAAAAAATGGAACAGGACTGCAGGAATAACTAAGAGACCTTAGTACAACATTCTATGTCTACAAAACCAATTTATTAAAACAACAAAAATTCAGCATAAATCAAGTTAGCATACAACAAAACAATGTTAATCATAAATAAATGGAGGTTGCAAAAAGGCGCAGAGGAATAGCTAAGACCATGCAACAATTCTAGCATAAATGTTATGGTTTCTGCATTGGCACTTAGTAGAGGGAGGAATTTAATGATCAGCTTCATTTGCAAAAAAAACTCAAAATATACTTAATGGATAACTTCTTCATCCCCATAATTTCAGTATTGAAACAGACTACTAACAAGTGTAATCCTTCCGTTGAGAGTGCTTCCGACATTCATTTTTATGCTTCATCAACGTAATAACTAATGTTGCTCTGGCGTATTCTCTTTGCAATTTACAGTTACATGCAAAGGAATTTTTTAAACAACTCATAAATACAACCCTCAGCACGTATTGGATTATTTAATCAAGCTATCAGCCCCATCCCTGCTGATAGCAATGTCAAGTTCAACACGTCATTCTCTAATCTACTCAAGCAACGCCTCATATTCAATATCCAAGACTCTTAGCCTTAATAGATCTTATTTGTCATACCATAAATGGCAAGATCAATCCTCAACCTATCAGATCGGAACAATTCAGCAGCAATTGATACAATATTTTACTATCATCCAAATCTAACAATACTCAATGCAACGAGTGATATTGCTTTTAAAAAGTAAAAAAAAAAAACTAAAAAGAAAAAAAGAAAATCAGAGCATACGACGAAACCAAACAAAGAAACCCACCCAACTCGTACCAAACCTCTCTCGAAACAAGCAACTAAGTTGGTCAACAGCTACCAAACACCATTCATAAAGTTGGGATACTCGGCATCCGATCACGAAGATAAGAAAGCGAAGTTAGAGAGATTAGTATTTCAATAAAAATTCCGCACGCATCACCTAGAGCATGAAGCGATTTATGATGAAGATCTACGAAGTAGACTGAAATAAGATTGATCGCAACAGAGAACGAGAAACGCACCATCCATTTCCACGATCGGATTTGCAACCTTGATCTTCTCGAACGCCATTTTCTCCGCGATCTGTATCCGCCGCCGGCTATTGAGAGGGGAAGAGCGATCTGACGAAAATGAGAGAAAGGGAGGGGAGTCGAAACTCTTTAAATAGTACAAAGCGGCAAGGGAGTGTGGGACCGAACTGGCTACATTTGCTGTAGCCGTCTATGTATCCGGTTTCCCCAAGTGACTTGTGGGCCACCCGCCCACAATGGCTCCGGTTGCACGTAGGGCTGTCACAACCGAGAAAAAGCCGGGGGCTAATCAAAATATCTCATTATAACTGAATAATTTGTGTTTGTTTTGTTAATTAGTTGGCATTCAATTTTGTCATCTTTTGCCTAGAAATATAAATCAATATAACACAATTAAATATTTATCTAATTATGTTTGATTCATTTGAACTCAAAATAATTATATACATAATTAAAAATTATGATAAAAATATGTTAAATGTTATTTAAATAAATTTTTAATATAAATAATAGGATTTAAACGACACCTCAATCCTTAACATTCTATGACTAAGTGATTAGGGATGACAAAACGATACGTTCTCTGTAAACAACTAGTGCTCGACTCACTCACGAAACGAGTCAAATACGAATAAATTTTATATACTCTATATATTATAGAGTCAAACACAAATGACAATATTATTTAATAAGTCGAACATAGGGTAACTTTGGCCCATTTAAACCTCTAAAGAAAGCGCAAAAGAATAATAACAATAAATAAATAAATAAATAAAATAAAATAAAAATACTTCATGCATGAGCATCTCCACGTGGCTTATGAAATTTATAAATCCAAACCGTCCGCAGCGCTTTGAACGGTGTTGATTTATTGCATTCCAGTGAATTTTCTTCGTTTAAGACAAGTTTTAAACTTGATTTTTTAACTTCGTCAACCCGTTCTAAAATTATGGCTGCACCATTTTTTATGAAAGCTCTCGACCAATAGCATTTCTAGCTTGGGTTAATTAAAAATTTTCAAGTGTATTTTTATGAACATTTATAGTAATAATGACTTAAACATATGTTAGTTCAAACATCTCGCGGACACATAATTATGAATATGTGTGATGTGTGCTAGAAAATTCGCGACGGTAGAGTAAGAGATTATCGTCTTGATGTGGTAAGAAAATCTAACACACACTTATTTAATTAAGCAAATAGTATTGACATCAAAAGTTTTTATGAGAAAAACTTTCGAAAAGAGAAAATATGACGGGACCTTGACTAGTTGAAATAATTCACTATGTAAATTTGCATACATTTGTCCAATCTTCTCCTAAATCAGGGAAGATGGAGTTACAAATATTTTTTTTAAATGTGCAATAGTGGTTCATCGATATTACTTGTAGTCTAGCTGTAATGAATGTAGTTCTCGATGAAAATTGGTTGTAAGAGTTGTAGTTGGTTGTTAAGGAAGAGGTAGTATGTCGTAAACGTTGCACGTGGTGGTTGCAGCGTCAGCTTGTCTTATTGGCAAATAGTTCGATGGTAGTAGTTGGTCATGTGAGATGCATATGGTTGTTTCAAGAGCCTTGGTTGACTGGTAAAACCATAGAATGAAACTGCAGGAGTTGTAAATCATATAGTTCATAGTTGGTCACGTAGGACTTACTGGTGAGATATGATGACATCCATAGGCCGCGAGAGCTGGAACCGAAAGCTACACAAGTTGTAAACCACAAAGTTCGTAATTGGTCACGTAGGCCATAGAGATAAGCTATGACGACATTCGTAGGCTACAAAGGCGGGAGACGAAATTTGCATAAGCTGTAAACCACAAATGTTATAGTTAGTCACATTGGTCGTGGTGGTGAGCTATGACGACATTCATAGGTCACAGAGCCCAAAGTATGGAGTTGCATGAGCGGTAAACCATGTGGATCGTAATTGGTCACATAAACTGTAGTTGAGAGCTATGACGACAATTGTAGGTCACGGGGTCTGGAGTCGAAAGCTGCATGAGCTATAAACCATGTTGGTCGTAGTTTGTCATGTAAGCCAAGATGGTGAACTGTGACGATGTAGTAAGCAGAGGGGGCCAGAGTCAGTTGAAAACAATGACAACAAACGGGAGTGTCAGTAATCAGAAGCTGTGGCGGCTTGAGATGATGAGCGTATAAAGGCAGTGACGACGGCTTGAGAATGTGACGGACAAAAGGTGGCGGCGGACTGAGGTGGTAACAACGACTTGAGACAGCAGTAGGAAGGCGACGGCAGCTGAAAGGCAGTGACAAACAGAAGGTGACAACGTCCTGAGGCTATGACAACCTGAGACGACGACGGTCTACTGGCGGCTACAGGGGCCGAAGGGCAACTGCAGTCGAAGGGCAGAAATGGCCTGAGGCGGAGACGACCTGAGGGCGGCGATAGGCGAAGGCAACAACCAGATGGCGGCGGAGGAGGCAGAAAAGGGAAAAGGTCATTATTATTGTTGTGATTGTGTCCTATTTTATACAATAATTTAAAAGATTGTGTCATCATTTTTAGACAAAAATTTTACGCTTTTTGTTGACTACCTAATGCAATTCCCTATTTTTTCCATAAAGGGCTTAAAACTAGGCAAAAGAGACAATGGGACAAAATCTTAATGTCATTAGGCTGAAACACACAATACCTTGATGGAAGGGAGAGTTCAGGTTGTTACAACTTTATTATGAAATTATTTAATCCATCATGTTCAATCTTCATGAATTACTTCTTACATTTGAAGCTTACTCATGTTCATTCAATTCACTAGTTGTGTAATAGTTCTAAAGTTAAAACTAGTAACAAAGCAAGCTTTACCATCTTATACTCTTCTATAATTCCTCCGGTACTCAACAAAAATTCATTTGCAGTGGCTTAATCAACGCAGATTAAGTAAACAAATCATGGTTACTTCTAACAAAGAGATCCCTTCAGTCAAATCTCATTAAGTAAATTCTCATTTCAAATTTCCACAGTTTTCTCTGAATCAGAAAGTACATACAACTCTCAATGTTCTAATCGTGGCACGTGTAAATGCATCGCTTCGATAGTTCAAAAAATCTATTGAGTGCTTGATTTTTAAATATCAATATTTCGGATATTATGCATGTGATTATCCTATAAAAAATGACAATTACATATAGGGCACCAGAATGAACAATTATTTACAGAAAGAGAAGGAGAAGACATTACATTTGATATGATTTTATAGATAGAGAGAATGACAAACTTGTAATATTGATAAAGGATAGAAAGGTAAACACCTAATACATTATATACGATATATACGTGTTAAACGAAAGAAACCTTCGTAGATATTTGGAGCTCAGCTAGCAGCCGACATGTCAAGGAGAAAGAGACTTTTCAACATAAAGGGATCGCAGACATATCTCATTACAGAAACATTACTATTTACAAATCAAACGCCCCATTTCATCCATTTTTCAAATTATCATTCAAATATCAAAAATTCACGGTGAAACCCCAGCAAAGATGTTTCATCTAGCACGTGTAAATGCACCGGTTCAGTAGTTCAAAAAATCAATTGGGGGCTTTATTTATAAATATCAATATTTTCGATGCTCCCAATGCAATCATCCAACCCCCCCAAAAAAAAAACAAAGACTTCCATGATCAAATCCTCACAATCTCCAAATTTATTAATCAAAAACAGTGCTGCAACAATATCCTGCAAAATAATATTTACACCATATATATATATATATATATGTGAGAGAGAGAGAGAGAGTAACTTCACCATTGTCCTCAATTGAGCAGAAGCTGCATAATGTGGAGAAGATGAAGAAAAAAAGGGTTTAATGGAAGAAAAGAAATAAAAAAATAAATTTAAAAAAGGACTTGTCGGCGAATTTTAATTAATTTTCAGAGTTGCCAGAAGGAGGCACATTTGATATTCCTTGCTTATGGAGTTCAACCATCACACTCTCTAAGGAAGGAGGCTTCAGCCCTAAAGGCAGTGGCAGCCATGGTTGCGCCAATACAACTCCCAGTGCTGCATCTATGCTCTCTTTTGACTGAAAATTAAAACACAATAAAAATAAATAAAACATTACAAATGAAACCAAAACAATTTCTTCCGGAAAAATAAATTAAGTTCCTTGAAAAGAAGTAAGAATTTTGTTTTTAGGAAGATTTGCATGCATTAATTGTTGGGTCTCAAGTCGTGAATGTGAAAAGTAGAGGATAGTTGATAACAAGGGTCAATTTTTTATCGAAAAAATCATGGCATGATTCGTTTAAATCATTGTGTTAATGTTAGGGTGTCTTCTGAAAATAATGTGTTTTATGACATGAATATAGTGAAAAATATGCAATGGGGCCCAGTTAGGACACGCAGACGCAGTGTTATTGTTGTTGTCGTTGAAGATTTACATACATGTTAAAAATGGTGGAGCCCGGTCCACTATGCTTGAGCGTTTATTTTGCTTTGGAGAGTCACGTCTCTTCACAAATAAACACTCCCGTCTTCCTCTTTTATAAAGTGAAGAATCTCTTCTCTCCCTGTTGTTCGTGATAAAAGCTTCGGATGACTCTTCTTGGGTTTAGAAGTCACAGTTTGAGTTCTTCATCGGTTTCCTCGGAATAGAGGAAGGTTTCCACTGGTCAGTGGAAGAGAAGTGCAAGGAGGAGTTCCTTGCGGTAGAGGAAGAAGAAAGAAGAAGAAGAAGATAGACTTCTTCTTGGTGGCTTGTGACAGAAGAGAAATTGATTTTATTTCTCTTGTAAGTTTATCTTCTTCGTATGTTTATCTTCTTCAATGTATTTTGGTGTACAGTTTTCTTTGATGTATCTCAGTGTAGAGAGAGAAGAACAGAGAGAGAAGAAGAGAGAAAGCAAGGAAGAGTGAGAGATTTCTCTTGTAAGTCGAGGTGATCGACTAGTGTAAATTCTTCAAGTAGTAAAATCCTCTGCAACTCTGTGGACATAGGAAATTTGCCGAACCACGTAAATCTGTGTGTTCTGCTGTGTTGTTTTGTTTTGGTGTGACTTTTCTCATTTTTTTTTTTCACTTCGTCAATCGTTCTCCTGTTTGATTTTTATATATAT